GATATGTATCAGCAACCCGTGGCCGTGTGGTAAATAAACGTTAGCATGTATCAACTGCTTTGGACTTCCTCTAGCCTTTTTTATCAATCAATTTAAGATACACAAGGGGTTAGGTGGTTTGGGTGGAGGGGGCATAAATTTTATCCCTTGGTAGTTGGTATAAATAAGTTGTCAGTATCATATTTGTAAGACAGCTAAGACTTGAACAGTAGTCCCTAATATTGACACTGATGCTTTTAACTTTTAAAATGAAACTCAAATTTAGGATGGTTTTAAATGGTAGTTTTGCATGGCTTTACACTCTTACCTTATATTGACTAGTGATGCATGAGTATTCTGCATTTTCAAGGTAGTACATTTGTATATTTTTTATGGATACATTTATCAATACACTATCATCATTTTCACTGCCTTAATTACAACTAGTTGAGGTTGGTGGCAATAAATTTATAGTGCCAGTTAATTTTATGCAGATATAGTTATCACTATAATCTAACACACAAAGCATAGTGACAGTATTTTTAGTTGGATACACTTCCCATCACAACCTCCATAAGGAATAATGTTGGAAAAAATCCAAAACCATCATCATAATTGGCTATTTCTAAATGCATGGGAAACATTGTGAGATGGCAAAGAGTTGAGATATTTTGTTTTGCCATGTCTATCAAAATTGATATTGTGAGACCAAGATTGCGAATGATGGGGTATTATGACGTTTATGCAAACTAAAATAAAGTTATGCATTGCTATTTTGTCAAAAAGCAGGATTTGAACTAAGTTTGTCGAGTTATATGGAAGCAGATTCTCTGAATTACAATTGACTTAATGACTATATGATTTTTTAAGAAAACAGTTTGTGGAACCTGTGGGGTGAACACTTTTTAGATAAGGACAGTTTCGCAGCAGTCTTTGGACATCTCAAGAACTTCATGTGTGTTTTACTTTTAGCATTATTTCTGTAGCTTACAGATGTAGTTTTTCATTTTAGGAGCGGTGTATGACATTAATTCAAGCTGCATCTGATGTTCAAGAACACGGGGGTGTGGATGATGGCGACACTTTTCTTCATGGCATCAGGGACCTTTTAAGCATTTATACAAGTAGTAATCACTCTGGAAAGAGTCATAATATTTTAATTTATTTATTTTTTGAATTGTATTCTTATACTTGTTTGGTTTGGTTAGATTCCCAACCTGGTTTATCAACATATGTATCTGCACCGGGCATAATTCAGCAGATATCTGGCCTTTCTTCTGACCTGTTCACATTGCAGTATGACCTAGAGAAGAACCTTCCAGAAGACAGATCTAAAAGTATAAGCAAGCTGTAAGTTGCATAACATCTTTACGTTGTCTGGATTGTTAATATTGTTATTATTATTACTCTGTATTACTTTTTAATAATATCCTATGGATTTTCATGTCAATCCATATGAAACATCTTATGATTTTCTATATGGTCGCCTGCTAGGCTCGCTCTTGTCCAGAGTTTGCAACAACTGTTATTTGCATCATCAACAACTGCTCAGCCAATATTGACTCCTAGGGTATTATGCAGTTTTTTTCAAGAATTTACAATTTAGCGCGAAAGATTGAGCTTTGCATAAATCCCTTTGAATTAATGATTTTGAATACATTTCATTCCGTGCTTTATGATGATCCACCCATACAGACATTAATGAAGGAGCTTGATGAAATGGAGAAGGCCAATGCAAAGCTCTCAACTGCAGTTGAAGAAGTGACTCACGAGCACTGGAAGAAGAATGAGGTATAGATTTGCTTCTCATCTTTGTAGAATGTAGAGTTCCAGTGCTTATTATATGTTAAGCAGGTTATTAAACATTATCCACTTTCGTCATTCGTCTTCTTGCAGATTATTAAACATCATAAAGAGGAGGTGACACTACAGAGGCGCCTTTTTGTGGATTTCTTCTGCAATCCAGAGCGTTTGAGAAACCAGGTCAGGGAGCTCACTGCCCGGGTTAGGGCTTTGCAAGCGTCATAGGAGGAGTTTCGTTGTCAAATTTGTCGCCTATTAAGTACTCCGCACAAGATTCTTGTTGTTGTAAATTGTGAAACAATGTTTTAGGGAGAAGAATGTCGCACGTTAAGGTTGTTTTTCTTCATGTACATATACATTGCTGTAAGATGTTTGGGTTGGAAGATTGTCGCCTGCGTGTTCAGTTTTTTTTTCCGTTCTTTTACATGGGAACAATGTCTAACACCACCCCGCCCCTCCTATTTTTTTACACATTGGTTATTGATATTGATATTGAAACATACAGAAGTATTATTATAAAAGTTAAATATGCTTTTAGCATAGTTTTGAAAACCGGACCAAACCGGTCTGGTCCAGGCCTATAGACCGCCTTCTGCTACGAACCGATAAGAAACGGCTGGTTGTACAGCAATCCATTTTTTTTTTTTTGCAGAAATCTTCCAAAATAATACTCCTATAGGATTCAAACACTAGATCTCCAGTTTCCAATATTCAACTTCCGACCATCTTGGCTAAACAACTCTTGTGACATTGTATTCATAAAATAGTGTCATTATACAATACATTTCTTGGTTAGAAAAATAAAATTATAAAAATGATTTGTTTTCATAAAACATTGAAAATATAATTTTATAACTATGATTTAAACTTTTAAGTACTCCATATTCTACAAATACAGATTACATAAAAAAGAAATATATCTAATTTAAATAAATTTTGAAAATATTGGACAAATTATTGAACAAATAATTCTTCTATTTTAAAATTTTTTTAATGTAATGTTTAAATATTTAATAGATAATTTTATCAACTTAATACTACAATTCAAATTAATGAAATTGGTTATAACTTTAGTCATTTATCATAAATAACTTGTTTTTAGATGGAGCAAATATTATATATATATATATATATATATATATATATATATATATATATATATATATATATATATATATATATATATATATATATATATATATATATATATATATATATATATATATATATATATATATATATATATATATAGGCTGGTTCCCGTGAGAATGCACCTTGTGGAGAGAAATGAGAATAAAATCTAGCCGTCGGATCTGATGCATCGTGCGGCTCAGATTGCATCATGCGCTTAGATTTTGAGGTAGTGCATTTTCGAAGGTTTATGGTGTATTTCGACGTGATGCATTTTCGCACCATTTTGGTGCATCTAATTTTGATGAAATCTTGACCCTTAGATCTCACAATCTAAAGCACCAGATTCATTCTCATTTCTCTCCTAAGATTGCATTCTCACCAGAACCAAAATCTATATATATATATATATATATATATATATATATATATATATATATATATACCATACATACACACATACATACATACATACATACATACATACATACATACATACATACATACATACATACATACATACATACATACATATATATATATATATATATATATATATATATATAATTTTCAAAAGTGTTTGAACCACTGGTTCGACCAGTGAACCAGTACCTTCACCGGTTCGATCACCGATCCGATTCTGAAAACTATGGCTTTTAGTCTCTGTAAAATAGTCAATTTTTGTTATAGTCTCATAAAAAATCTTAAAATGGTCCTTAAACATAGTTAGCATTTCTAATTTGTTAACTGAACACATTTATTTTATATCAACATTTGAATCTTGCTCTTTAATTACCTCACTCACAATTCTCATGCCATAGATCGTGTCCTTCATTAAATTGTATCTCAAATCTCCAAATTATGTTATATTATATTTCTAATCGATTTGAGAATTGGAGGTGTAATTGAATAATGACACAATTTAAAATATGAGAATTGTGTTGGAGGTGGTAGAAATACAAGATTAGGATGTTTAATAGGGAGTATAAAATAAATGTGTTATCTCAACAAAGTTGAAGTGTAAATTATTATTATTATTATTATTATTATTATTATTATTATTATTTTGAATGCTATTGACTCGATTACAAAGTAATATTTGTTCATACTGATTTTAAACCTAATGATGCACAAAAGCTAATGCCTCCGCCTCTACTGCGGCTCTAATTTGGTGAATTTCCCCACACATCTTGAGAAGTGAGCTTCTTACTAGTTACCACTCAAGTCAGGGGAGAATTCAGAAGTGCCCATTATGTTTAAGAACTTTTTTCAAAATAAAAACTTTTTTAAAGTCGACTTAACAAGATTATTTTTAGAAGAACAAAAAATATTACCTATTTTCTAAGGAAAAAAAATATAGGTAACTCTTATTATAAATATTTGATACTCCCCATTTCAAAGTACATTCTATTTAGTTGGTTAGTTAAATTGGACGCAATATTTAATACAGAGTAAAATAAAGAGACACCTGATTCGTTACCTATTGTTTTCTATTAAAGGAAAGAAAAATATGGAGTAATCAGTGCTATATGATTTAAAATACTTTTCTCCCTCCTACAAATTCTCTAACTATTGAGAGCTACAGCTGTCCAACGTTTTTGTCCAGTTTTGACTTTTTATAATCAAATTTGGTTAGTTGTGACCAATAATATAAAATATTCATATTAGATATTGATTCAAGAATAATTTTATTAACTTCATCTTGTAAAATATTTTTAAAATATTATTTTATCTAATTAATATACCGTCTACTCCATAGTTTTTATCTAATTATACGTAAAAGATCGATCTTGGTTGACTGTAAAATGTCAAAATTTTACTAATACTCTTGGATGGATGGAATATTAAACATGTTTTCGATATCTTTTCAACATTTATTTTAATTGTCAAATTTAAAACAAAAATTTTTTGGGACAAAGAGAATATCAAGTTCAAGTGTAAACTTAATATCCTTAGATTTATTTTACAATATAGTTTTAGAATATATATATTTTTATATTGTTTATTTACGCGTTATTAAAAATATTAATAATCAAAATATCATCTCAAAAAGAAATATATTCATGACAGAGTGGAATATATTTTAGAGAACAGAGTGGAATATATTTTAGAGAACCTGTGTACATAATTAAGAGACCATATGGATCTAAGACAGACTATAACTTTCAACAGCATTACTTCTGTACACTTGTTTGTTTATTATTTAAAAAAAATAGAAAAACACTATTCATATGTAGTAAAGCTGTACAGGTAGTAATTTAAAGAGCTGATAACCATTGATCTTGTGAAATTTCCTTCACTGGAGATGTGAAGCAATGGTTTAGATGGGAGTTGTGCAGAAAGGAACAACATCTTTGATATCATAGAGTCCAGTGGCAAAGAGAACAAGAGAATCCACCATTAGGCTTAAACCAGAGTGCTGAACAGTGCCATGCCTTCGAAGATCTAAGTACCATTCATAGTGTTGTTTAGACAACCCAAATTCCTCTATCCTGTAATTTTTTTTTTTTGAAGTTTCTCTTAACCAACACGAAAAATGGTTGAAAACAAAATCGGAGGAGGTAGAAAAATGAGCCTTTACCTGGAACTCAGAGTATTCAAGCGTTCCTCACTTTGGCTTCCACTAACCAGAGTTCCAAACTGAACCGTGCAAATCTTGGTATCAATAAATGAGGGCAACGAGGGGTGAATTGAATATGAAAAAAGACGTAGCAATGGAATGTTTTTTATTACCTTTGGAAAAATTATGTCGAATGCAGCAACTGTTTTCTCATCATCATTGAGGCGGACGTTGAATGGTTTCAGGTTTTTTGGATGATCATATATAATGACAGGCTTTTTGTAGATTTTGTCCACCAGATAACTGCCCACCGGAAAGACCCATAATGGAAACTTAAATTTATCTTTTCTTGGGATGTATAAATTATATTGTATGCCATTCAAAATGATTTGTTACCTTGCGTGCTCATCAGTTAGAGGAACTCCCCATTCCATGCTGTTTCCAGTTTTCTTTTCAGTGGCCTGTTTACAATGGCAACAGGATGTTAATACAGAAAGTGTTTTGATTTTCGGATGGCCATTGAATGAATGTAACAAAAAGAGACCTTTACCTGATTTAAAACTTTCACGGCTTCTGTGTAGGAAACTTTTTCTGGGGAGCATGATGTCATGAGCTGGAGGCGATCCTCAATACTTTTATCAGCTCGCTTTGAAAGAAACTTCACATCTTCAGTGGAATTTTCTAGAACCCATTTGCATATAAACTTCAAGAGGTCATCTGCACAGTTCATGGCGTCCTGGCCAGGAAAAATTGTACATGGTCAGCAAAGACAAATCAAGAAGCATGGGTGGATAGCATGTTTTAGGCAGTCAAATGAAAAACCTCCAATTTAGAGAAAGCCATTTCGGCCTCGAAGATCAACATCTCTGGTAACGATTTCTTTGCTTGAAACCTGGGACCATAGGTGTAGACATTTCCAAGTGCACATGCTTGGGCCTCAAGATGAAGGCGACCAGAATCAGTCAGATACATCTGCTGAGGAAAGAAATTCTTAGAGAACTCAGCTTTGGCTTCATTGGAAACTTCCTGGTTTTCTAGGATAGGGTTGACTAGAAATTTGTTGCTTGATCCCCTGGTGAGGGTGGTAGTAATTGTGGGGACTTGCACAAACAGGAATTCATTATCTTGGAAAAAGGCATGCAATGCTCGAGTTATGGCACTGTGTATTCGCATAACAGATGCCACCTGCAAAACCGAGCAACTTGATAACATGAGATAGCTTGTACATTGGCAATCTTAGTGGGAAAGAGGCAAAAAAATAGCCCCATGTTTTCAAATAAAAACATACTTACGAGCTATGAGAAGCTCTTACATAATACTCCCTCTGTCCTATTTCTTTTAAGAAAAGATTTATCTGGTTTATAATAGTTTCATTTTAAGACAAGATCCTTGTGGTTTACATTGTTTCTATCATTTTTTTAATAAACCACAACCACACAATTTAATTTCTTAATAAGTGTGCCAAGTCGAAGTAGGAAGAAAATTTTAGAAGGGAGTGAGTATGTTTTATGCCATTAGGGTATAATACTAAGAGCCTGGTAACTGGTACGGGTGAATTTGGCTGAAATTGCATAAATTGCTAAAACAGTGACTGATATTGATAATGGAGGTTAAGGGGCTAAAAGTTTTTAAAAAGGGTTTTTTATAAAATCAAGAAAAAATGTGGGAAAATATAGCACACAATTAAAAATGAATGCTCTGAGCTTAACAATTAGAAACACATCACAGCTCAAATGCAAAACTGGATTTTATGTAAAGCAGACTGGTAATGTGGCGTTAGTAAATCCGGAAAGGTAAAAATTGAAAATGGAATCACCGTTGATGTTCTTGCTCGGAGGTGAGGGTAATTCCGTAAGAATTCCAAACGCAATTGTTTCTTTGTTAGTGGGTAACTATTAGGCTCAACAGTCCCAAGATGCAGAATTCTGTCTGCTTTTAGTTCAATAACATGTTTCATTTGCAATGCAGGTTGCTGCAATGTGCCTTCTACTACAATGCACGTCCCTGTAGGGAGGATTTGGCTAGGACTTGCCAGCTCTGAGCTCACCAATACCTAAAATATACAAAGCATACAATTTCCAATCTCAGAAACAAGAACAAAACAAAAATAAGTGAAAGAGGCATTTCGTCGAACAGATATACTTCATTATTTAGCATACCACAAGTCTGTGCAGAGAAGAGCCATCGCTGAGTTGCAAGAGCGTCAAAGATGGTTTGGGCGGTTCGGGCACATCCAAATCCATTTTCTGGTGAACCCGGGAATCTCCTTCTCCTCTTAAAGCCTTCCAGATTGACCTGAGAAGTGGGAAACGAAGAGCTTCCATGCACCTGGCATCTTTAGTCCCCACATTCTGAGAAAGCTCAGCCTCCTCCTTCATCTCCCTGGAGGACTTAACCCACCCTCCAATCACGACTCTCTGGCCTGCAAATCCCACCCCGCCATCGCTCCGTTCAAATATAGTCTTCAAGATTACCCTATTCGAATACTTGTTGGTACTTGGTGTCATG